ATGTGTCTGTTGGTCATCTGGATGTCTTCTTTGCAGAAATGTCTGTTCATGTCCTCTGCCCATTTCTTGATTGGATTATTTGTTCTTTGGGTGATGAGTCTGATAAGTTCTTTATAGATTTTGGATACCAGCCCTTTATCTGATATGTCATTTGCAAATATCTTCTCCCATTCTGTCAGTTTTCTTTTGGTTTTGTTAACTGTTTCCTTTGCTGTGCAAAAGCTTTTGATCTTGATGAAGTCCCAATAGTTCATTTTCGTGGGCTCTTCATTCTGTTCCATTGATCTTTTTGTCTCTTCTTTCACCAAACCACACTGTCTTGATTATTGTAGCTTTATAGTAAGTCTTGAAGTTGGGTAGTGTCATTCTGCCAAATTTGTTCTCTTTCAATCTCATGTTGGCTATCCTGGGTCTTTTGCCTCTCCATATAAACTTTAGGATCAGTGTGTTGATATCCACAAAATAACTTGCTGGGATTTTGATTGGGATGGCATTGAATCCATAGAACCAATTGGAAAGAACTGACATCTTGACAATATTGAGTCATCATATCCATGAACATAGGCTATCTCTTTATTTGTTCTTTGACTTTGTTTTTCAGTGTTTTGTAATTTTTCTTGTAGATCTTGCACACATTTTGTTAGATTTATACCAAAGTATTTCATTTTGGGGGGTGCTAATGTGAATAGTGTTGTGTGTGTTAATTTCAAATTACGCTTGTTCATGACTGGTATATAAGAAAGCAGTTGGCTTTTGTATATTAGCTTTGTACTCTGAAACCTCCTTGTAATCAAAGTTTGCAACCCCATCTTTCCATTGTGTAGGCCTCATTCTAGCTATCCCCGTTGTTGCGATGTCCTGAGTGTGGCCTTGGACTTGTAGGGCTCTGTGCCTCTGCTCACAGGTTACCCTGCTGGTATCACCCTTGTCTGTTGTCTCTGCCTGTTGAAACCTTACCCATCGATCTAGAACCCAAGCTGTCTGAAATCCCTGGGGATGCTTTTCCAATACCCTTCCACAGAATTGCGTGTCCTCTGGGTCCTGGTGACACATTGGTTCCCATCTCGAGTTCATCACCTTTCATGTCCCCAGACTGTACTGGAGCAACCTGAGTGTTGCTTGTTCTCTTCCTCTGCAGCTCGCCACCCCTCAGGGGCAAGGATGGGGACTGACTCATCCGCTGCTGGGGCCCTGGGACAGATAGCACTGTTCACACGTTCAGGGACTCGGCCACGGGTAGCTGGATAGAGTTGATCATACTGAGCTTCAGAGAAGCCAGACCACTGGGACTTAGCCTTAGGCAACCTCACTGTCTTAACTTGTTTGGGAAACATTGGAGTGTCACAGAAGAGACTCCATCACTGACATTTCTCTGTCATCCACATCGCCTGTCACTCAGGGGGGTAGGGAAATTAAATTCATGCGGCGAGGCTGGCTTTTAACTCTTAGTGCCCTGTTGACTGTTGTTACCACTGGACAGCCTTCTGTGAGCATCCAATCTCTGCTCTGGCCCTAGATGGGAGAGAGCCTAGAGGAGACTGATCATTTTTTTTTTTTTCTTTTAAAACCACAGATGCGTGGCTTCTACTTTCTAACTCTTGGAACTAGCTGACTTCAGGGTCTCAGTGGTGCCCTGAGGCTGGTCCTACAGTGCCTGTCAGAGTCCCCAGAATCTGTCCTTTGTCCTCACTGAGCTGGATACAGCCTCTCTCCCAGGACTCTGCCACCGTTCTTTCCTACCATTTCCTCTTGACTGGGTATTATGCTTCTCCAATCAAAAGCTGCTGGTTTCCAGAAGGCTGATTCTGGTTTTTTTTTTTTTTTTTTTTAAGACTTGGTTTGGAGGACAATTTATTTTAGGCCTGTTAAATTTGATTTGACTTCCCCTTTGCTGTTATATATCCTTAACAGCTTCAGATACGTTTTGAAAAAAAAAAAAAAAAACAACAAAAAAAACCCAAAAACCAGTTCAATCTATTTTGTGACAACTTGTGTGACTAATTAATGCTCTGCAGAACACCATGAAACTTGCAAGGCACCGCACAAATGCCAAATCGTAACACGTGTCCTGTTTGAAACTGTCTTAGCAAATTGAACATCTGTATTATAGTAATAGACTTTATTAGTAAATGGACCATCTTTTATTGATTCACCTTGTTAAGCAGGAAAATAATCCTTATGGCTTTATAAACCTTCTGTAAGTTCTAGTAGGTGCCATTTCGAACATGAATTTAATTGAATAAATGAAGGCAGGTGTCAAGCATTTAATTGGCCCTTCTCTCTCAGCCAGCTCAATCAGCTTTGGAACTATTGTTGATGATGTAATTTACCAGTGAGATGAAACTGACATGTCTTTGGGGAAGAGAGGCTGGCTGGGCAGAGTTCACGCTTAATCACTGACTGATGTCGTTGTAACCTGGTCTTCACAGAATTTTCTACTAAAGTTCCTCAAGGAGCAGACAGAAATAGGGAAGAAAGTGGTAGCAAACTTTGCCTCATTGGCCCACAAAATTAGTTGAAAAGTCTTGAGCCTTATATAAGTATTCAAGTAACTCTTGTTTTCTGTTCCATGTTGTTTTCCTACACATCCTCAGCTAAAATGATTTGACTGGGAAGGTGCATCTTTTCATCACGTGGATCAGGCACAGACGAGTGGCTTGAGAAGTTGGTGTAAAAATGGCAATTTTTATAAGAGCGGGTGGAAAAAAGATACCAGAAGAGAAATTGTGGTACATCCAGACAATGGAATATTTTTCAGTGCTAAAAAGATTTTTGAGATCTCTAGCCAGGCAAAGACAGGGAGGAAACTTAATGGTATATTACTAAGTGAAAGAAGACAATCTGAAAAGGGCTACAGACTGTATGATTCCAATTAAATGACATTTTGGAAAAGGCAAAAGTATAGAGACCAAAAAAAAAAAAAAAGTCAGTGGTTCCCAGGGGTGGAGTGGGGGGTGAGAGCAGGGGTTTAATAGATAAAGACCAGAGGACTTTTAGGGCAGTGAAAATTATGATGCATATGATAATCTATCCATAATGATAGATGCATGTCATTACATATTTGCCCAAACCCATAGAATGTAGAACAAGAGTGGACTGCAATGCAGATTATGGGCTTTGACTCTGATGTGTCCGTGTAGGTTCATCTTGTAACAAATGTCCCCACTCTGGGGCAGATGCTGACACTGGGGAACGCGATATGTACGGGCACGTGGGAAGTCTCTGTACCTTCCTTTCAGTGAACCTAAAACTGCTGTAAAAAATGATCTTAATTAAATAAAAACAAACATACAAGAAAACAACCAAAATAACTTTGCTGTTTAAATGGAATCCCTAAGCAAGGAAAGGAAGGCTGCTCAGCTGAGAGGCAAGAGGCAGAGGCTATGACTGGATTTGCCTTTGCAGCGACCACTCGGTAAGGATGGATCAGAGAGGGGAGACTGAGGCAGGGGACCAGGTGAGGTACTATCCCAGTCTTCTGTGGATGGTGGCAGGACCCTGCTGGCATCTGGGGCTGGGGAGGAGGGGACAGAGCTCATCATGAGGCGGCAGGTGGAGCTGGTTGATTTGGTGGCAGCGGTGTGGGTGGGGCTGGGGGAAAGAGGGGAGAGCTGACATTTATCAGCTGTCACCGAGCGCGTTTGGCACACCGGGCTCTGTGGCGGGTGTTTCACACCCCATCTTCATCGGAACTTGTCAGCCATCTTGGGTGATCAGTTTGGGCAACTCTGAGGAGGAGCCTGGGGCTTTGTGAGGTTGTGGTTTTTCCAAGGTCCCCTCTACCATAGCAGGACTGACGCCCAAACATGGAATGGGCAGAATCCAGAAGCTTCAGGGACTGTCTAGACTGGGATGGGGCAGGAGTGGGAGGAGAAGGTATCTCTCTTCCTTCTGCAGGAGAGCCTCCTTATTCAAAGGCACCCCCAACTCCTGCATGGTTCACCCCATTTCCTAACCCCTGACTCATTTCTGGCCTCTGTGAGAGAGCACTGCACTTGGAGTCCATGGCTTGGGGGTGGACCCATCTCAGGCCCCCCTTGCTGGCTGCCTTCAAGCTACTTACTGCTCAGAGTGTCAGTGTCCTCCTCAGAAAAACACAGGTGGCAGTTTCACTGTGAAAAGGAAAAAAAAATCATGGAAAAGAAGACAGTGCCAGGCCTAATGCGGAGAGCGATAAGATTTTGTGCTCACGGGGCGCCTGGGTGGCTCGGTTGGTTAAGAGTCTGCCTTCAGCTCCTCTTATGATTTCAGGGTCGTGGGATCGAGCCCCATGTCAGGCTCCCTGCTCAGCAGGGGAGTCTGCTTCTCTCTCTCCCTCTGCCCCTCCCCCTGCTCATGCTTTCTCTCAATCAAATAAATAAAATCTTAAAAAAAATTAGAAGATTCTGTGCTCAATGCCCTTTGATAATGTTGGATTTGACTGCATGGGGAGTTCTGAGTTGTGGCATGTAACTGGACTTTGAAAAGAAAATGTGATTCTTTTCCATCAATTTTTTAAAAAAGATTTTGTTTATTTATTTGATAGAGAGACAGCGAGGGCAGGAACACAAGTGGGGGGAGGGGGAGAGGGAGAAGCAAGCTTCCCACTGAGCAAGGAGCCTGATGGGGGCTTAATCCCAGGACCCTGGGACCATGACCCAAGCCAAAGACAGACACGCTTAACGACTGAGCCCTGCAGGCATCCCTCTTTTCCATCGAATTTGTCCGTGTTGGTGTGTAGCACTTTTTGCCCATTCTCATCCGGAGACGCACTTGTAGTTTTGGAGGTGGCAGCAGGCCATCTGTGAAGACCTCAGTGAAGTCCTCTTTGGGTGAGAGTGGCCACTCGGTCCTGGTCGGTGCTCTCAGAGAACTAAGCTCTAGAAACATCACCTTCTTTGCCCACATGTACTTGTCCTTTGCACCTTGACAGCGGCTGTGCTCCATTGAACCCACCCCTGCGGTGGCTGTGGCCGGCTGGCTATGCGCTCCTCTTCATTTTCACTTGGTTTTCTCTCTAGTGGTGGCTGTTTACATAAAGGAGTCCTGGTGGCCCACCGAAGACGTCCTACGAACCTCTGATCCTGCCAGAGAAGGTCTCATGAAGGTGAGGTGGTATAGACCAGAACAGATATTGCGAAACAGGTTTTAAAGTCAGTGTGTTGATTATCATGTTAATGATCGAAAGCACTTGGCCTTTGTGGACTCATCTTCCAGGGTTGCAAGAAACAAACTTTCACAGATGGGGTGGGGCGCGGTGGGGGGGAGCAGCGCTGAAACAACAGAAAGGTGTTGTCTCCCAGCCTCTGAGACTATAAGCCTGAAATCAGGGTTCCTTCTGAGGGCCACGAGGGAGACTCTGTTCCAGGCCTCTCTCCTGGCTGCTGGTGTCCTCAGGAGTTCCTTGGCCTGGAGATGGCCTTCTCCCCGTGTCTTCACATCATCTTCCCTCAGTGTGGGTCTCCCTCTGTCCAGATCCCCCCCTTTCTATATGGACACCAGTCATTTTGGATTAGGAACCCCCCATGACCTCATCTTCACTTGATTGTCTGTAGAGACTATTTCTAAATAAGTCAGATCCCCAAGTACTGGATATTAGGTCTTGGAACATCTTTCCAGGGGATGCGATTCAATCTAGAATGCCCTGCCAGTAAGGAAAATAGTAATAAAAGGCTGTATGCTGCAGACATCTGGCTATTGGCAGATCTCTCTTACCTTCCTGAGTGGCCTCTTGTGTCTTCATTTTAAAACTTAAATCCCTGTCGTCTCTCTAGTGTATAGGAAAATTTTTGCTTATTGTGTCCAAATATTATTTTTTTGGTACTCACTCTGAGTCAGACATTGTGTTAGGTACTTGCCTATGTCCTCAGACTCTTTACAGGGATTATCTAATTTTAGAATCCTCAAGGTACTGTTTTGCAGAAGAAATTGAGGCTCAACCACACAGCTAGTGAGTGATTGGGTTGGACACAAACTCCAGTCTCTGTGATGTCAGGCCTGAAGGTCTTGGTTGGGCTGTGGCTTTATGGAGCAGTTGTAAAGCCAAAACCTAGGATGGTAGGGGTGAGGACAGGTGCCCCAGCAGCTCCTCAGTGTCCCTGTGGCATCTGCTCCACTGGAGATCTGATGAGAAAGGCAGTAACTAGTGTAGAATTTAGACTATTTGCCTCATGTCTGCCCATTTTCATTTGATTGGCATATTTACCTTAATTCCATAGGTGCTTCTTGGCAGTCTTAAAATGGTGGATCTGTCTGTAGTGGTCTGGAATTCCACTTGACCTCCCTCATTGGGACCTACAAATAATGAATGACCAGTATTCTTTTGGGTCTGGTTTAGAGAAGGAATTGATAATACAGTTTTTTCCCCCTCGCTTGAATGAATTAAAAAAGAAAAACAAAATTCAGTTTTATTTTCCTTCAAACAACAACTTCATTGAGATACGATTCATGTCCTATAAATTTCACCCTTTCAAAGTGTACAGTTCAGTGATTTTCAGTATTTGCACAGAGTTGTGCCCCAGTCACCGCTCTTGAATTCTAGAATGTTTTCATTGCCCCCAAAAGAAACCCCTTACCCATCAGCAGTCACCCTTCATTTCTCTTTTTCCCCAGCCCCTGGCAAGGAGTCTGCCTCTGTGGATTTGTTTCTCCTGGACATTGAGATCTCTAGAATCATATAATATGTAGCCTTTTGTGTCCAGCTTCTCTCACTGAGTGTAATGTCTTCCACGTTCACCCACACTGTAGTGTGTGTTAGAGCCACATTCCTTCCTATGGCTGGATCATTTCCCACTGCATGGCTCGAGCATGTGTGTTTATCCGTGTATCTGTTGATGGACACGTGTTGTTTCTACCTTTTGGCCATTACGAATAACGGCACCATGAACATTTGTGTACAAGTTTTTGGGAGCACATGTATTTTCAGTTCTCTTGGGTATATACCCAGGAGCGGAGTTGCTGGTCACGTGGTAATTCTCTATATAACTTGTTGAGGAACCACTGAACTATTTTCCACGGCAGGTGTACTACAGATAGTCCCATTGGTAACCTCTGATGGCTTCCATCTCTCCATGTCCATCCTGTCACTTGTTTATTGTCTGTTTTTGTATGCTCTCCATCTGACTGGGTGGGAAGTGGTATCTCACTGCAGTCTTGAGCCGCATTGCTCTGATGGCCAAAGCTGTGACACATTTTTCCATGTACTTATTGGCCATTCACACATCCCCTTTGGGAAAATATCTATTAAAATCCTTGGCCCACTTTTTAATTGGGTTACTTGATGTCTGACCATTGAGTTACAAACATTTTTCATATATTCTGGATGCAAGTCCTTATTGAGCACATTGCCTTTTTTGATTGGCAAATATTGTTTTCCCATCTGTGGGTTGTATTTTGCATGCCTGTTCCCGCTCCCCAGCTTTACTGAGATATATCTGACATAAACATTGTGTGAATTTGAGGCACAGGAGGTGTTGATCTGGTATACTTACATATTGCCAAATGATGGACACTGTGGTGTTGGCTGACACCAGCTTTGTATTACATAAATACCATTTTTTGTGTGTGTGATGAGAACATTTAAGATCTACTGTCTTAGCAACTTTAATATAATACAGTATTATTAGCTATAATTACCCTGCTGTATATTAGATTCCCAGAACTTATTCATCTTTTAATTGGAAGTTTGTACCTTTTGACCGACATCTCTCTTCTCCCACCCACAGCCCCTGGTAACCACCATTCTATTCTCTGTTGCGATGAATTGGGCTTTGTTAAGATTTCACGTGCACGTGAGATCACGCAGGATTTGTCTTTGACTTACTTCACTTTGTATAATGCCCTCTAGTTACATCCATATTGTTGCAAACAGCAGGATATTTTCAGGTCTGGTTTTAATTGACTCGGTAGATACTGTTTTGAAAAGTTTCCCCCTCCCCACCCCGACGCCAGGGGATTTAACTATGGCTTGAGATTCAGCCAATGAGTGTGAGGTACCCAGTGGGGTGGCCTGGCCCATTTGTCTTGCTGTGCTGGACCCTTCCCACAGGTGGGCCAGAGATATTTACTGGTTGGGTGTTTTGAATGCCAGGAGAAGTCTAACGTGCTCTTTAAATAATTCTTTCATATTTTATTTTATTTATTTTATTTTTTTGCAGAACAAGAGTATTCACTTGTTTCATGTTTCAATTCCTCTGTGTTTAGATGAGGGAAACCCCACATTTTCTGAAAAAATGTGGCCTATGTTGTGAACAGAAAGAAACTTGGATGTTACCTGCTCTTAATGAACCGTGTGTAATGATCGATCTACCCCAACCATCCCCCAAGATTTTGGGGTCTTGACTTTTTTTTTCCTTTTAATTATATTTTGTTTCTTAGCCAACTATTCTTCATAAATTACCAAAAAAAATGCTTAATGTTCTTTCTGTTAACATAATTAGTGGTCCTAATTGAGGGATTAGAACTGGATCTCGGCTTTGTGTTTCCAGAAATGTTTCTAAGTCAGAATCACACACATTTCTCCCCCCGCCCCCCATAATGAAATTGGATAAATTCAGTGCATTTTCTTTTCTCCTTTTTCTCCTGCCAGTTTTTGATTGGATATTTCCCTTCTGCCAGATGCAATCTGCTTTTCTCTTCTGGCTTTCCTCTGAACTTTTTGGTTTTATAAGTTGAAAAATATAACCTCCCACATCACCCCACTCAGGTTTTGTGACCAGCTAGTGATTCTTCAAAGTCTGAACTGGATTTGGCTGCTACTGTCTGAGATGCAAAATTGAGGCAGCTTCTCAGAGCTGAGCTGGTGTGGTTTTCACAAATCTTTTCCTCATTTAAGATTTGGCTCCAGATGAAGGTGAACTATTTTACATTGTGGACCAATTAATAGATTTATTGGCACTGAACACTTTGTGCCATTTGTAGGGGGGGGGCAACAAGCTGCCTTATTTTTTGTTATTGGAGCATTTGAAAACAAATCTATTTTTTTTTTAACCCATCCTTCCCCAAAACAAGTGGTTTAAGGATGCTTCAGACAATCATCTCCCTTGATCAGTGGGAGAAACGGAGGCTCAGAAAGTTGGGCATTGCTAAAGATCTCCCAGCAAAGCTAGGCTGAGAAGTCACGGTCACAAATGATGACGATGATGATGATAAAAATGTAAGAATTAAGTATTCAATATAAAACGAAGTGTAGATATTTATATTAAGGTTCCCTTTTCCAAAGCCTTAGTTGTAATGGATAAAGATGCTTGCGGCAACCATGGGTTGGGACCAGCCTGGGACCTGGGAAAGCCCTGGTCTGTTGTTTTGAGCCTGATGCCTCAGACAGAGCCCTTGTCCAGGTGTCCTAAGTCCTCTTTGGAATGAGACAGGGAAATCAATAAATGCGATCACTTACCCTCCTTGGGTTTCTCTTTCCTTACCTATAAATCAGGACCTCCCGCAGGTGGGAGAATTGAATGCTAGCTTGTGGGTGGGAGTCACAGCCCATTCAATGGCATTGCTGATCCCATGGTGCTGCATAGGATGGGGGACAAACACCCCCACACGTAGGCTGTCACGTAGTCTTGTCAGAGTAAAATCTTGTCATGTCACACATGTCTTGCCAGAGTAAAATCTAACTAAACAATGCTGTCCCTTGATCAATAGCTGATTGGGTTCATGTCAAGAATCACATTTAGTGCTGGCTTGTGGTTGTCCAGAGGAGTGCATGTAGAAGGACTCTGTGACCTTATCCAAGCTGAGCCACATAGAGTGGGATTGATTAGTTATGTCTGCTGTGGGTGCAGAAGCTGGAGGCCTCCGTTTTTGCTATGTATTTGCCACCCGGGGGCTCTCCAAATGCAGAATTTTTTTTTTTTTAAAGATTTTATTTATTTATTTGATAGTCAGAGATCACAAGTAGGCAGAGAGACAGGCAGAGAGAGAGGAAGGGAAGCAGGCTCCCCGCTGGGCAGAGAGCCCAATGCGGGGCTTGATCCCAGGACCCTGGGATCATGACCTGAGCTGAAGGCAGAGGCTTTAACCCACTGAGCCATCCAGGTGCCCCCAAATGCAGAAAATCTTAACAGACAGGACCATGATGTCATTTCGACTTTTTTTTTTTTTTAAGATTATTTACTTATTTATTTGACAGATAAAGATCACAAGCAGGCAGAGAGGCAGGCAGAGAGAGACGGAGGAGGAAGCAGGCTCCCTGCTGAGCAGAGAGCCCAATGCGGGGCTCAATCCCGGGACTCTGGGATCATGACTGGAGCCGAAGGCAGAAACTTTAACCCACTGAGCCACCTAGGCGCCCCTCATTTCGACTTGTTAATGCTAAAACTCTGTGTGGGCCTGACCTTGACCACATTCTTTCTTCACCTGCCATGACATTGTGGTGGGCAAGAAGTGGTTTCATTTGATGGCCTTAGAACAAGATGGCCCTTGATTCTTGGTAGTTCTCTGGGATTGGGACTGTAGCATGTGCTCCAAATCTACTGTGTCACAAGCCACCGAAAAATCATGTTTCTGATGTAGCCATTGATCCTCCAGTTCTTTTTTTTTTTTTTTTTTTTAAATTCCCCACAATTCCTTGCCCTCCTTCTGAAGGCCAGAATTCTGGGTCTGTTATTAAAAATGACGGGGGCGCCTGGGTGGCTCAGTGGGTTAAGCCTCTGCCTTTGGCTCAGGTCATGATCCCAGGGTCCTGGGATCGAGCCCCTCATGGGGCTCTCTGGTCAGCAGGGGCCTGTTTCCCCCCCTCTCTGTCTGCCTCTCTGCCTTCTTGTGATCTCTGTCTCTCAAATAAATAAATAAAATCTTAAAAAAAAAAGGTGGATTGGGTTTATTTCTAGACACATTCAGGGGATCCGCTGAAATGTCTTGCCTGAGCCCCCTGGAGGTTACTTCCTGTTTTGTTGACCTGCAAAGGACTTTTTTCTGTCTACTTATATTCATTACACATAGGTAGCCTTGGGGACCAGGGATGCCCCTCTGGAACTGCCCCTCACTCCTGGAGGCCGATGGGTGTGAAAGGTCAGGGTTGTGAAAACCTTGGTGAGAAACTATGAGTCACATTTTGGCTCTTGAGCACAAGGGGAATTGTGTGATGGTGGCACACACACCTGGCCCTGATGTGTGGGTTGATTCCAAGTGCAAAATTTATCGTGTGTGATTTTCCTCTCTCACTTGCTTGTTCTTCCTTTGTTTCTTCTTCTTCTTTTTTTTCCCCCCTTCAAAGGTTCAGTCATTTGGGGAAAGGATTGTGCTTTTCATTCTAAATGTTGTTATTTTTGGAAGACTGGAGAGAAATTTGGATGACCGAGACATGTTTTTTTTACCTCACTCTGTGAAGGAGCAAGCAAAGATTCTGTGGCGGGATGGGTCAGCAGTTGGATTTTACACGACCAAAAGGAAAGGTAAGGGACACACAGCCCTGGGGAGGAGGCAGAGGATGGGGTGGGGAGGCCCCGTAGATGTCTGCCTGCGTCGGAGGACTCCCTCAGCACATGTGTTCCTTGGAGAGAGTCTTCTAGCACAGAAAGTGTCACTAATTCAGCCGTCCTGTAAATAAACCCAAGTAAACCCAAGGTATGGATTTCATTTTCTCGTTTCTCATTGTACTGGCAAATAGGGTGAAAAACGTGTCCTTTTGATTCCCAGGCAGAGCCATGTCCCTCATAAAGGCTTATTTCTGCTAATGGTGTAAAGTGACTCTGCAAAGCACGACACTCTTCATTTCTTTTCTTTAAGGCTACCCATTAGCTGTCAGGAAAAATACCATCGCTAATAGCTGACATGTGGCGCAAAAGCACATGGGATGCCAAGATTTATAGACATTACCTCAGAGGAGGGGGAGGTCGGCCATGATAACGAGGTCGGGGTGAAACACTGGGACTTATTTTTAGGGCCTCTGAGGAGAAGTGAGTGTGATCCTAGGACCATTTTCCCTCGGGGATTGGTCTGTTTCTTTAAAGTCGTTTTCTTTAATGCTTTATTGAATTTTTTAAAGGCTGTCAACATCTGTACGCCAAGCGGACCCAGCCCTGTCCTTCAGTTCTTACGAAGTCCTAAATTTTAGCAAGAATAGTCTCCCAGCGAACCACCATGGACATGCCTTCTCCTGGGTTACGTGTTTTTCTTGGGGCTCAGAAGGCTGATTGCACTGTTGAACGTTGTTCATACTATGTGTTTGTTCCACCTGTCCAGGATGGAACAAATCCACTTCTCTCCCTCCCCACTCCTGGTCAACCCCCCCCCCCGCCGCCCCGTCCCCTGCCATGTGAGATGACCAGTTTCCCATGCAAGTAACTCCATTAGTTAACTACTTGCCAAGGTCAGTCTGGACACTCAAGTAGAGAGGTTGGTTGCGGCCTCCTTCTTTTTCCCGAGGCTGACCCAGAACTCAAAGTGGAAGGAGGACCTTAAAAGATTGTCAAGCTAAGGTAGACCAGACTTGGTGCTTGGATTTCTGTTTCTTCTTCATTTTTGATGAATTCCACGAACGTGGTGGAAAGTTCTCTGAAGCTGCTTATTGGGTTACGTCGTTTCATCCATGAACTGATTTTTTTTTTTAAGGGGCAATTGACTTTTTGTTACTCAACAGTTTATTTCATTTAAGAAGTACCAAACCAGTATAAAATTATTGAAAATATATGCTTCAGGTATATGTTGCCAATGAAATTTTTTTTTTTACTGCCTTTTGCTGGATTAGCTTATTTTTGGAGAGACAGAATAAAAATATTTCTGTTAGAATAATTGCATACATATTGCCACCAGGAAAGTGTGAGAGTTGTAGCCACTCTACATCCTTGCCAGTACTTGGTATTGTGAGTCTTTTTAAGTTTACTTATTCTACAAGGTGGGAAGTAGTATTTAATTTTGGTTTTAATTTGCATTTCCCTAATTGCAAATGATATTGATTATGTTTTCGCGTGCTTTGTTGATGGTCACTTATTTCTTAACACTTAAGTGTTAACACTTAAATATTTTGGCCCATATTTTATTGGGTTTTTGCTTATTGCATTTTCTTCATATGTTATAGGTGTCAGTTCTTTTTTTTTTTTTTTTAAGATTTTATTTATTTATTTGACAGAGATCACAAGTAGGCAGAGAGGCAGGCAGAGACAGAGAGAGGGGAAAAGCAGGCTCCCTGCTGAGCAGAGAGCCCTATGAGATGCAGGGCTTCATCCCAGGATCCTGGGATCATGACCTGAGCCAAAGGCAGAGGCTTTAACCCACTGAGCCACCCAGGCACCCCTAGGTGTCAGTTCTTTATCAGATATATATTTGGAAAACATTTTCATGTTGGCATGACAGTATTTTTCAGAGAGCAAACATTTGAAATTTTGATGGAATCTATTTTATCAGTTTACCAATTTTCATTATTATTTTGTCAGAATATTTTCTAAATTTACTTTGTGATTTTTATGAGTGTTTTAAAGTGAGTTTTAAATTTCCAGGTATTCCAGATGTTTTACTTATTGATTTACCTTTGATTTCTTTTTTTTTTTAAGATTGTATTTATTTATTTGACAGAGAGAGATTACACGTAGGCAGAGAGGCAGGCAGAGAGAGGGGGAAGCAGGTTCCCTGCTGAGCAGAGAGCCTGATGTGGGGCTTGATCCCAGGACCCTAGGATCATGACCTGAGCTGAAGGCAGAGGCTCAACCCAGTGAGCCACCCAGGTGCCCCTTATTTTTTATTTCTAACTTAATTCCTTTGCAGTAAAAGAATGTAGTCTGTTTTACTATTTTAAATATTAATATTTAAATTGTTAAATATTCTAAACATTAATTTTATTATTATAAGGTTAATTAATATTTATAATATAAATAATTATTTCATATATAAATAGATATTATAATTTATAATATCAATTTAAATTTATATTTATATAAATATAATTAATATAAATATAAGTTTAACAGTTTAAAATATTTTGAATTTTTTAATATTTTAAGAATTATTGAGAATTGTTGATGGCCCATTATATGGTCTGTATTGATAGACATTCCCTGTAGACTTGAAGGAATGTGTATATTCTGCAGGTATTGTGTTTAGTGTTCTGGAAATATCATTTGGGATAAGGTAATTAATAATGTTGTTTAGATTTTCTACATTCTTACTGATTATTTTTGTCTAGTTCTATCAATTTCTGAGAGTTTGTGAAAGTCTATGATTGTGCATTCATCTCTCATTTTAGTTTTGTTAGTTTTTACTTTATGTGTTTTGAAGCTTTGTTATCAGTCACATCTATATTTATGATTGTTATACCTACCTGATATATTGGTCATTTTATCATTATGAAGTCCCCAGTTGTCTTCAGTAATATTTCTTATTATGAGGTCTGTTTTGTTTGATATTAATATATATAGACCCATCATCTTTCTTATGCTTATGATTTGTATGGAATACATTCTTGTATTGTAGCTTGTAGCCTTTTACTTTTAGTCTGTTCATTTCTTTATTATCTGAAGCATATATTTTGTTGACAGCATACAACTGGGTATGGGATCCTATTTATTTATTTATTTATTTACTTTTGGATTTTATTTATTTATTTGTCAGAGAGAGAAAGAGAAAGAGTGTGCACACAAGCAGGGGAAGTGCAGGGAGTGAGAGAATCAGGCTCCCCACTGAACAAGGAGCCCGATGCAGGACTCAATCCCAGGAATCTGGGACCTGAGCCGAAGACAGACACTTAACTGACTGAACCATACAAGCATCCCTGGGTCTTGGATTTTAAACCTAGTCTTAAAGATGTCTGTCTTTTGAATGGAGTGTTAGTCCACTTACATTTAATTATTGATATGATTACATTGAGGTCTTCTCATTTGCAATTTGTTTTGTGTCTTCTGTTTTTTTTTGTTCCTCTGTCCCTCCTTCATATCTTCTTTTATTTGAATCAGATATTTTTTAGTATTTCATTTTAATTTCTCTATTGGCTTTCTAGTTCTATATTTTTGCATTTTTAGTTTTTACTCTGCGGATCATGTATGCTTCTTAAACTTTTCCTGATTTACTTACAGTTAATATTGAATTACCTCAGGTGAAATATAGAAATCTTTTAACAGTGTATTTTTGTTTATCCCTTATTTACATAGTGCTATTGTTATATATTATATCTGTTCATGTTATACACCTATCTTTATTGATTTATAATTTTTAATTTAGTAGTCATATCTTTTAAAATAAATAAAATAAATATAGCTAAAATCTTTCTCACATACTTACCTTTAAAAAAATTTTAATATAGGTCCCACTTGCCATCCAGTGTCATTTTTCCTTTAGGCTAAAATACTTCCTTTAGAATTTGCTGTAGTGTGGTTCTGCTGGCGACAAATATCTCAGGTTTTGTTTACTGAAATGTATTTACTTTATAGTCATATTTGAAGGATAGTTTAGCTGGCTATAGAATTATTACTGATAATTCTCCCACTTCCTTCGGTGCTTTGAATATGTTTTTCCAGGCTTCTGTCTTTCATAGTTTCTGGTGAGAAGTTAACCAGTTATTTATTGCTATTCCCTCATACATAACACATAGGTTTCTCTGATTGCTTTCAAAGTTTTCCCTTTAACTTTAGCTTTTTTTGTGTTTGACTATAGTGTGTCTAGAAATGATTTTAGTTCTGTTTATCTTTCTTGGGCTTTGGTGAACTTCTTGAATCTTTATGTTTTCTGCCATATTTTGGAAGTTTTGGGCCATTATTTCTTCAGTTTTTTAAAAATGCTGCTTTCAGGGCACCTGAATGGCTCAGTTGGTTAAGCCACTGTTTCGGCTCAGGTCATGATCCCAGAGTTCTGGGATTGAGTCTTGCATTGGGTTCCGAGCTCTGTGGGGAGTCTGCTTTTCCCTCTGACCTTCTCCCCTCTCATATTCTCTCTCACTCTCTCTCTCTCTCTCTCTCTCTCCCTCAAATAAATAAATAAAATCTTAAAAAAAAATGCTGCCTTCATTGTTCTCTATCTGGGATTCCAGTTGTGTGTGTGCTGGGGTGCTTCATAATGTCTTTAAGTTTTGTCTCGGAGGTTTTATTCATTTTTCTTCAAATGTTTTTCTCTCTTTGTTGGGTAATTTCTACTGGCACCTATTCAAGTTCATCTGCCGTCTCCAATCTGTTGTTGAGCTCATTGAAAATTTTTAGTTATTGTACTTTTTAGCTCTAGAATTTATATTATTTTTTGTAGTTGCTATTTCTCAGTTGAGATTTTCCATGTATTTCCCTTTAATTTTTTGAATTATTTTAATATTTCGAATATATTTGTAAAGTTGTTTTGAGGCCTTTGCAAAGTCCAACATCTGGGTCTGTTTAAAATCCGTTATATTGGCAACTTTTTTCCCCCCCTGAGTATGGGTCACACATGCCTGGCTTTGTGTGTGTGTGTGTGTGTGTGTGTGTGTGTGTTGAATAATTTT